CTTCTGTAGTGACGTTGGTGAGTTGGGTAGATGATTTAGCATTAAAAAAAATTAACAACAGATAAAATCTCTTTACTAAGATAAATTTTATTGAAATTTTGCGAGTAAAAACTCCGGTAGATTTTGATACCTTTTAAATAGTTTAAAGAGAACTAACATAATATGAATTTTTTGTACTGATGATTTAAAAAATATTTCCGTCATAACTTTTTAAAGACAAGTTCACTTTTTTTAAACTTGTTTTAAAGATTTGATTGTTTTGATTTTTTATTCCATTATCAAGGCTGATTTTTTATTCCGTTATCAAGGCTGATTTTTTATTCCATTATTAAGGCTAATTTTTTATTCCATTATCAAGACATTATCTTTTAAAATTAGCGTATCAGGCTGTGCATATCCTAGTTTTAAAATATGCAGACCGGTGTAGTGATATTAAAGGTTTATCTTTATGACGGACTTTAATACACCGTATACTAATATAAATAAAAAGCTCTGTAGATTCAGCAGCAGCCATGCAGCCCAAATAACTCCGAAAAAAGTTACGCATGTTTTCCAAATTATCTGTGTAATAACAACAACAAACAGCAATGAAAGAGTTTGTTTTTTTTTTTAAGATTTAATGCTCTGATTTTATACTTGTCTTTTTCTCTCAACTTTTCAAACACGAAAATATAAATAATTATAAAAACTTAAAACTTTTTAAAACTTTTTAAAACTTAAAACTTAAAAATTTTTTTACTTTTTTGTAATTAATACCTTATCATGATTTAAAAAGTTGAAAAATCAATTAAGAGCAGAAAGTAGAAAATGCTACAATTACAATTGATAAAACTTTGAGGAAAACCGTTTATACAAACCAAAGTTAGGTCTGTTGAGAGAAGAAAGCACAAAGTAATTGAAAATAATATAGTGGGAAGATATCGTTTTTAAGCTGGTAAGTATACGATTGTAAAAACTATAAAAAAACAATTTAAAAGCTCTATAACTTCTAAAATTATAATTATAAGCTAAATAATATAAGCTTCCTTATAAAAAGTTTGAAAATATTAAACAACTGGGTGACGCTGGTCATGTGTTTATTTGATTAATTTAATAATATGCAAGGAAAAAAATTTTCTTTTAAACTGTTTACAAAAATCAATTTCAGCAAAATAGGAAATCATTTTGAAGATTTTACAGTATATTTTCTTTTATTTATATAAAAATAACTCTTAGAAAAAAGCAAACTTAGAACTACTTTATAACCCAGTCAGACATTTGATACCATAATTATATCATATTGATCTCATACTATGAGATCTATGAAATCAAAATGAAATCACACAGTTATATCAATTTTAGCTCAAGTTTGATATCATAATTTGAGAACCTGATGATATACAAAGTTGATACCATCCTGTACTCAGAATGATATATATATATTTATATATATATATATATATTTATATATATATATATATATATATATATATTATATATATATATATATATATATATTATATTTCTCCGTTTTAAACCCCTGCAATGATCATTAAAGACCAATTTAATGACCTTTTAATGATGCAATACATTTCAATTATTGATCCTCGTATACGAAGATCATTAATTTAAATCTATCGCATCATTTACTGCAATAGATCGTTATATCCACCACGACGATTGTTACAGCAATTATTATAACGGCACTATCTGCTTTTAAGATAATCACATGGCTTGTTTATATTTTTGTGATTATCTCAAAAATAGTCAGTTCCGCTACAAAAATCATAACTACATTGTGACAATGTGCTTGTGCTGTGAATATGAGTGGGTTTGTTGAAATACTTAGAGCGTTTAAAACGGCTGCGAATTTTAATTGTAAAAACTGCAGAACCGATATAAAGCAGAAGAGTTTGTAGAAAATTTGGGAAAAATTAAAGATACGATATCAAAATATAATATCAAGAGTTTGATATATTGATAGGTATCAATATATCAAATCATGAGAAATTTTTGATATCAAAATTAAATTACATTGGTATTTATTTCTGACGTTACATTGGTTGAAATTACATTGGTATTTATTTCTGTCTGAAATTATATTGGTATTTATTTCTGAAATTACATTGGTAATTTGTAATTCTGAAATTACGTTGGTAGTCTGAAATTACATTGGTATTAATTTCTGACAAAACACCACAACCTCGAGGTTGTGGTGTTTCCGTTTTTTTGTGTGTCAATGTCGAAATAGTTTGAAAAATGTAAAATGATTTTCTAAACGCTATACTAGAAAGGACTAGAATTATAGAGCTAAAATATTTGATCATTTTGCTTTTGCTTTTTTTAAAATATCGAGAAATATTTTCTCATTGAAAATAGATGAGTTGTAATGATTTAATCGTTCATTTGAAACACTCAATTTGAAACACTCAATTTGAAACACTCAATTTGAAACACTCAATTTGAAACACTCAATTTGAAACACTCAATTTGAAACACTCAATTTGAAACACTCAATTTGAAACACTCAATTTGAAACACTCAATTTGAAACACTCAATTTGAAACACTCAATTTGAAACACTCAATTTGAAACACTCAATTTGAAACACTCAATTTGAAACACTCAATTTGAAACACTCAATTTGAGTGTTTCAAATTGAGATTTTCAAAAGAAATTTAAATTACAAAGTCCGTCTAACTTATCTCAATCTTCAAACTTTAGAAGAAAGAATGAGGAGATTTGATTCAATATTTTAAAGCAGTCAAGGGGTTTAACAAAGTTAATTGGTTTCATATAAATGCCCTACCACATTTTGTATTAGTACAAGGGCCGGTAAATAATGTTAGAGGGTCTAAATTAAAACAAGACAATTCACAAGAAACCAAGCAAGATTAAATTTTTTTACAAACATGATTGTACTCTTAAGGAATAAGTTACCTAAGCAAGTTATTAATTCAAGAAGCGTCAATGAATTAATAACTTGCAAAAATCTATATGATAAGTTCATTGTTGTCGAACAGATGTCTGCTAAAGTTTGCTAGACAGACTTCATAAGAAATTTATTTTTTCTCATTGCAGATTATTGTATATATATATATATATATATATATATATATATATATATATATATATATATATATATATATATATATATATATATATATATATATATATATATATATATATATATACATATATACATATATACATATATATATATATATATATATATATATATATATATATATATATATATATATATATATATATATATATATATATATATATATATATATATATATAAATGTATATATATATATGTATATATTCATGTAATTGTCTATTCATGAATATAAGTAATCGAAGTACTTTTATGCATAAATAAACACATAAATGATATACAGATACGCATGTATTTAACATACATATAGTAACAGTGCGTTCGTTCGTTGTCAAATGCAAAATACATTTCATTTTATAATAACATTAATTTTAAAATATAACTAGCGTATAAATAATATACATAAATTTTTTTTAAATTACGGGATAAATTTGATATGTATATATTATAGTATGTACAACTTATTTTTTATAAAAGTAAACTTATTTTTTTATTTTTTGTTTTTTTTTAGGTCAAGAAGTCCTTACGGTCTTATCACGGAGAGTTTTTTTCCAAGAGGCCTTTACGGTCACCAAGAAGTTACGATCACCAAGAAGCCCTTATTATCTTATCACGGAGCACCGCAGAAGAGCATTTAATAGGAAGTTCACGCCTCCTTCCCAAACGATGTCGCAAGACTTACCCAAAGGTGGGCATTGAAGCACGGATCTTATATTTTTGAGGCAAGTGCGCTACCACTGCTCCACATCTGCTCATTTGTGCAGCGCCTTTCCTGTAATCTCGTTAAAGTTTAAGGAAAAATTTTACTGCGGCTAATTTTGAGAAAAGCTACTTTACTTTGCACTAAAATGGGACAAATTTAAAAGTTCTTTCTGAATAATCTTTTAAAATGTTGAAAATTTAGGAAGAATCAGAGAAGATTCGCATTATGAACCCAAGGTAAGAAAAATTACCTTATCCATCAAAAGCAATTCAAAAACTCCCACGTGTTTCTGTCGATACTCAAGATTGCTTACAAGAAAAAAAAATATTTTCTTTTGTTTTAAGTCAACTACAATTATTTGAATCTGACATAAACAAAGACTTATATTAAGCTTTAGAAACAAAAATTTCAATTAACGTTTAAACAAACCAGGTTTTATATTATCTGGTACATTAAATACTTTTGGATTAAAGCCAAAAAAAAGAGCAGTTATATTGTTAGCTAAAGATCTTTAGTAAGACCTTTACAGTAGAAGAAAATTTTAATATTAAAGTACAACTGAAAAAAGCTAAACAAAGTTCTGAGTTGAAAATAAGAATTAATTAATGATTGGACTACCACGAGGCATTAATCCAAGGTGATTGGAAATTGACATTACGTTCTGTTTTACTTTTATAAAACACTGAGTCAACTTTCCATTTTTTGGGTAGTAAAAAGCAAAAAACTTTACAATGGATTCTGCGTTCAAGCCTGCAATTCAATAAAAAATATCGGTTCAACAAAAAAACGTACTTCTTATTTAGAGACTTATTTTCAGTGTTTGAAAACTATTTAACCAGCATCTGTTGAGAGAAAACGAACTTTCGTTTCTTTATTCGGTACTTTTTTTTTTCTTCGGTGGGTGGAGGTTGGAAAGTTGTGTTTATTATATATATATATATATATATATATATATATATATATATATATATATATATATATATATATATATATATATATATATATATATATATATATATATATATATTATTTGTGTAAACCATGCGATTTTTTGGTTTTTGGCACCTAGATGCTGATTTTCTAATCCGTACTTTCTTCCTTATTAATATTCTAAAATTCTTTTTTGTTTTGCCGCTTTTATTTTGCTTTCCGATTAGTAAACAAAAAACAAAATGAAAATAAATTATATCATACTTGGGGCTATTTGTATTAACAAGTGATACTTGATATCCAAAATAAGAGCTGTTATCTTGAATTGTGAAGTTCCAAACATTACGACTTTCCAAATTAAAACACAGAGCCTTTTTTACAAGAACACAAATGAAAAAGAATATCATTTTTATGCTTCAGAAGTAGTTCTTCTATATAATATAATAAAAAATCAATATGATAAAATCTACTATGTAATAACCTATATAATAAACCAATAGAATAAAGTCTGCTATATAATAAATAAGAAATCAAGGTACTAAATGCCAGAAAACAATAAAAGTTAAGTTTCAATAACTTATGGTGCTATTTTTTAAAATGTTTTTACGAGTTTAACTTTCAAAAACTTTTAAGAAAAAATTCAAATACTTAACTGCAATACACAAGAGAATTACATAACAATTAGACTTTGCCGGAAATTGAGAACTGATCGTACTGCATAAAAATACCTCGAAGGTAATTTACTTTGTCATAACAACAATGTTTATTAAATACGACATTTAAAAATGCGATTTAATATTGACTTTTTTTCATTGAACAAATGAATTTTTTTTTGATTTTTAATTTTTTTCTTTGATTTTTTTTTCGTATAAAAAAATTTATATTGAAATCGAATGTATTAACATTTATAAATTCAATTGATAGAATGGTTTTAAAAGATATAATAAAAAAAAACACTTAATTAAAAATTAATTGTTTCCGCCACGATATTAAGAGACAAAATAACAATATTTGGCAAAAACAGAAAAACGTTAGATTATGTTTAATTCTATTAATAATAAGAAATGTTTAATTATCTTTAATTCTAAATGTAAAATATTTAATTCTCGCGTATTTTCTACAAATAAATACTTTAGAATTTTCATAGATGAGTTGTGTACTTTTAAAAACAAAACAACAACAAAATCAAACGATGGTTGTGTAAAATCCTAATTTAAGTTTAGTGGTCAGGATTTTTTGAAATAGTCCTAGATAGATAAAACTTGAAAATATAAATAAATGTTTTATATGTATTAAATATAACGTATGATTACTTTCATAACAAGTTTTTGACCCCATCATTGACAAGTATTTTTTAAAATGCAAATGTGTATTACAAATTTACATCTTTAAAAAAATGAACAAAATACGTCTTTCCAAAATATACAAAATAAGTCGTTAATAGATGTTTTGTAAACTTATCTTGATTTTTTCTCAAGTCTTTAAAAAATCTTTAATTCGTATTAAAACGTATGTAATTATAACTTCGTATTTCCTTAGTAAATACGTCACTTCCTTAGTAAATACGTCACTGATATACGTCTTTTTCTAAGGTCCTTATAGTCTTAACGATATATATTTGAGATCGGCCGATTCCGATTCCGATTTTCCCAACTCCTGTGATTCTCAAGGAATTTTATGAATCTCTACCTTTTTTAACGACTTTGCTTTTTTTATTAAATTAAAATTTTATGAACTTATGGGATTAGTTTATATATTTAAACTATTTAAATACTTGAACTAGTAAATATAATATGTATACACAAAGGCGATTCTACAAATAAAATGAGGGGGGGGTGCATCCCCAAAAATGTACCGGTTAGCTTGAAAAATAAAAAAAAAAGGTCCTTATAACGAAAATTTAACTGACTGATTTGCGTCAAATAGCCAACTAGCCGAATGAATTCGTAAAAAAACTGACTTGAAAATCACCTTCTTTAGGGAGTGTAACACCTCCACACACCCCGTAAAATCGCCCCTGTGTATACAACCTATTTGAAATATATACATTGCCCCTAACTTCTCCTTTTGGTTTTTTTAACAATTGAAAATTATAACTTGTAATTTATGCTATTTGCTTGAAATCAACTATTATTTCTCGTAAACAAAAATACATGTTATTTTGTTGGTTATTTAATTCAATACAAATTGTACTGTTTACCTAATAATTTTTTGGGTTTTTTGTTTAGTAATAATATAAAAATTTGTCACATTTACGGACATATACGACAAAATAAACTAGTTCCTAATTAAAATAGTTCCATTCTTTTCATCGAAATTAACTGTTCTAGTTTCTGCAGATATTAAACTAGAGGGTTCTGAGTGAAAAAGTTTATAAAAATATAATGTAAAAAGTTAGTAGCTGCAAACAATGATAATACTCATTTTGAGAGAAGTAATGAAAATTGGCAAGCTCGAGATTTTCAATATTGAAAATCTCGAGCTGGCCAATTTTGAAAAAACCCCATTAAACCCGCCTAAATATATTCACCTGATGAAGCTTAAGCACTAATTATTAATGGTGATAAATCAAAATCAACATAGCAGCTTCTAGGAAATGGTGCTGAAAAAATCGCCTGCCACATATATCCTTTATATAATGGTATAAGTTCTTCAAAAAAATCTCAAAAACATTCAAATAAATGGCTATTCAGTACAAATACCGCTAATAGATCTTTTAAAACACACTCTTAAAAAGCAATGTGGTATACAAACTACTGTGCAAATCACAATGCTAAGAAATTAACTAAACTGACGTTTAGATGCAAGGCTGGTTTTGATGGTGCTATAGGATTATTTTCATCATAAAAAAGCATATGTTTATATTTTTAAATGATGACATTTTCATTCTCATTCCTTATATATGAGAGACAATTTTTAAAGACAGTTTTTTTAAAAATGTGTCGAGAACAGTCTAATGCTAAATTATTATATATTACATTTGTGTCACACTGGTAAAAAAGAGGTAAAATCATGGTTTAACTATATGTCTACCCTCTAATTTTGAAACATGTCTTTTTTCTAACATTTTTTCTTTTATGTTTTGTATATTATTAAGATACACAATAATTATTTATTTGTTTCTAATTCGATAGATGAATGTTTGAACTTTTAAAGAAAGTCTTTTGACACTTTGTTTTCTGTTAAAACATGTGTACAAACTATATTTTCCTTAAGTGTCCGGGGCTACCAAACTCTTCCCTACGCATTTTTATTTTTAAAGTTTGTTTTATCTATATTTTAAAGTTTTTATTTTTAAAGTTTGTTCCACTAGAAGAGTTTGTAATTTAGTTCCACAGTTTTAAGAAGTTATAGGATATGAAAAAAGTTATAAATCCGCGTTTTTAAAGTTTTCTAAAGTTTGTTAAATAAGTTTAAAGTATTAGCAACTATTTAATTAAAATTTATAATAAAAGTAAATAAATATTAATACAAAGTGATTCTATAGATATATAAAGGGTTTTAGTTAAAAAAAAAAGATCAAAATAGTTATGTCCACAATATAACTAATATCCGACCCACTGTACCACCCTAAGGTTTTTAAGACCCCCTCCCCCCTCTTTTTTTCTTTTTATTATAAATATTGTTAAAAAAAAAAAAAAAAATGGGGGGGGGGGGGCTAAAAACTGACCGCAATCCACACTAGAATTAAATAGTGTTTCATAAAAAGTATTAGTTTAGATTTATAAACTGAAATTTTTTATAAAAAATACTTATATTGTAACATAAATTTTCCCCTCCTTTTTGTTAAAACCCCCCGTTTATTAGATCACACCTACCTTTTACTCCCCCCTTCCTTCCTTTCCTTGTATTAAGGACTAAACACTATGCGATATTGGTATAAAAGAAGGTGTAATCTTCCTGGTAAAAGCTCTTGGTGCTCTTTAATAAGAACGTTAGATTTTCTGTGGTTTTTGACAATTTAAAAAGAGTTGAAATATAGGAAAAATACATATTTTTATATCTGTCCGTATGATTTTTTATTTCCATATTCAGGTGCGGATGCAGCATTTTTTGATGTTTGAGATAAAACTTAACTTAGGTAAAAAGTTTATGTGTTTATACTTATATCAAATAAAGATGTTTTCCAAAAATTGCAATAATTGGAGCCTGGGAATAAAAAAGTCCTAAAGTTTTAGCTTTACCTGCTCCAAACATGAGAGCAACACGTTGATAAATTAATATTTTTACTATTCTCAACTAAATCTATATTCATCGACAAATTTTAAAATTCACACAAAAATCTTTTAAAATTAAAAAATTATGACCATAAAAAGTTTGAGCACCCCCCTCAATATGAGGGGGTTGCAAATTTTATAAGGCCATAATTATTAATAGACTATTGTGAGAATTTTAAAATTTATCAATGAATATATACTTGGTTGAGAATAGTATAAATTTTTTTTTATCAACTTGTTGCTCTCACGTTTGGGGCAGGTGTAGCTAAATTTTAGGGCTTTTTTGTTCCCAGGCTCCAATCATTGCATTTTTTGCAAAGCATCTTTATTCAATATAAGTATAAAAATATAAATTTTTGGAGTTTGATCCACGTTTAGAAGTTAGGTATCTCAAACATCAAAAAATATTGCATCCGTGCCTGATATTTTTATATCCGTCCGTATATTTTTTTCTGAAAACTATAGAGCTATTTATTGAGGATATATATTATTTTATATGTATGTGATATATATTATTTTGATTTAAATTTTTTATCGTTTGCGAAATGAGTTTTGAGGAATTGTTCTACACACTATATACACACAATAGTGATATCTTGTTTTAATATTATTTAATACACATAATAATAATATTGTTCAAAGCAAAAATAGCGCGCTATTTTAAATTTCTTTTTGCATTACCTATTTTTAAGATGTAAGCCAACTACATAACGCACACCCACGCTGAACCAGATTTTAGTTTGATGAAATGACATAGGGTTGTGTTATACCTTTTTGAAATTGTTAAAACCATACCATTAAGGGAAAGTTAGTGAAAAAAATCACAAAACCAATCCTTAAAAAATATTTGGGATTATACAGGGGTCAAAACGGTTCCCGAACTTTGGGGCTCCTCTGGTTGATCATGAGACCAACCCGAGGGGAGAAAACAACTGTTTTATATTTTGTTAAATAACATAATTAGTTATTAGTTGCCTCTACTAGATGGTCTAAAAAACAACCTGAGGGGCATCAAAGTTTATCATCTATTTTGACCCGTGTGTATATAATCATTATTAAACTTTATAAATAAGTTTATAAATAACAAATAATATATTTTACTTTAAACAAAATATCAAAAATCACTTTATCAATCTAGTCAAATATGTTTTCATTGAAAAAATAAAATAAAAAAGCATACAAATATTGTACAGTAGTTTTATACTGAACAATAC